TGTCCAGACGTGGATCACGCCAAGACTTCAAAGTATCCCAGCCTGGATACTAAGCATTAAATTGCAAGACCTCGGCCTCTCTTTAATCCAATCTCGTCGAATAAACACAAACATTGCATGGCATTCTGATGATGGGGGTTAATTGGACGGTCTGGCTATCGGTAGCGCACTAGATCCTACCGGCGAATCCTCAATCCGTCGTCTTTGCCGCTAGTTAGCATAAAATGTTGTCCCTGACGTATGCAATATACAAACCCCGCTCCCGATCTGAATACAGATCTATACAAATTCCCGGCTCTAGCCTCTAATCCAATTGAAATCACCATAATCGTTAACAGCAAAATAAACAAGGAACAAGGTTCAAAAAAAAAGGGAGAGAAGAAAAATGTCAGACCCCACCATCCCCCCGCTGAAAGGCCCCCTCACCCCTCCAATCGTCATAAACTGGCTCCGCCGCTGCAACCGCGCTTTCAGATCGTACTCCTACCTCCATCCCTCCTACAAAATCGAACCCGTCGGCGATGCGATCTTTCAAACCCCCGCTACGGAGAATTTATACACCTGGTGGGCTACAAATAGTATGGATTTAATCGAGGGATCCTCCTGGGAGGGGTTTGAGGATGCTTTAAAGAAAGAGGCTTTGGGGGAGAAATGGCAGTTGGATGCTTTGAGGGAGTATTATACCATCAGCCAGGGGGATATGTCTACGGAGTCCTATGCGGGGGAAATAAAACGCCTCGCGAAGGTGGTGGGGTGTATAGGCTTTGATACGAACGACGAGAAGTTTGTTGAGAAGTGCCAGTTGATATTTCGCGCTCGGCCGGAGGTGGTGGAGAAGATTTTGGAGAAGGAGGTCAAGGACCATTTATCCATTGTGAACGCGGAGAGGGATGATGTGGTGGGGTGGTTGGAGAAGCATGAGGGTTCCACGGAAGTGGTGAAGGATATCGAGCAGGAGAGTAGTTCCGGAGAGATTGTTTTAACTCCGTAAGTCCTGATCGAGGTGATCTGCTTTGACTGGTGTTAACTTGAGACCATAATAGGGACTCTACTCCTACTCTCGCCACCCCAGCTCCGGAATTCGACTCCTTCCCCGCAGTATACGTCCTCGGCCAATGCCACTCCAGCCCCCAACAGTCTACCGCGTCCACCCCCTACTACAGGGCCTTCAACGATATAACCAACATCCCCGACGGACCACACCCGATCCGCTGCCTATCAGGCATCACATTCTCCTACCAATCCAGGCGTAACACCCCACTTTTTTTCACCACACACGGGTTCGTTCGACTTCGCTATGTTAAACCATATTTGTCAGAAGAAACCACGGTAGATGCCACTGAATATCCCACAGGGCCTCGCGGTGGGCCTGCGGTGGGCGAATACATCAGCGGCCAAAATACCCCGCACAACTTCGGCGCCAAAGAATATATCACTTCCTATCAGGTTCAATATAGTGCGCCAGCGGAGGACCCGGGGGTTGCAGTGAGGAGATTAGGCCTCGGGACATCCGAGGGGAGGATGTTCGATAGTTCTTTGGATACTGGTTTGAGTCCCTGGGATGTTGAGGTTACCGCCCCGGATGGGTGGGCGATAGTGGGGTTTTATGGATCCTCTTACACTAAGCCGTCGAGGGGCTACATTCGGGCTATTGGTGCCATATTTGGGCGGCTGTCGGACGATAGAACCATGGTTGGGGTTTGTAGTTGAGTCGGCCCCGTGTGCCTACAAAGTTCGGTGGATTGGCGCTTTATTATAATATTACGTATTCAGTTTGTATTTTAGCTTCACTTCTACATTTTACAAAGCAACCACCCCGCCATGAACTCTATTGACGACCCCACCTTGCCGTCGTACGTTGGATATCTAGCTTATGTGCTTGTCCCCGCTATATCATATTCCTATGCTATATCGTATCTTTACTATTTAATATTCATATCCCACCCGCGGGCAGTCCACGTATAATATTCCACGGACCCACGTATTGTTCTCCGAGATATCGATACATATCCCACGTTTTGATAGCCCACGCGGGCCTCCATGTATCCATTATATAATCCCGCCGATCATCGATCTACGCGGAGGATATACTCCGATTGAATACATCTTCTAACCCTCTCCCTGCCCCATCTACCAAACTACAACCGCCGACTTACACCGTATTGCCAATCCACCATACCCATTTCCCAAGCCACAACATCACCACAATATATATAAAAAAATGGCATCCCTCTCCTCCCTCCCGATAGAAATAAAACTCCACCTATCAACCTACCTGCACTCCACCGCCGACCTAAAATCCCTCACAACCGCCTGCTCGAATTTTGGCAGCATAGTGGGCTCGAAATACTACGCCCCGATCCGGAGGAAGGTACTGCTTAATGAGGGGAAATTCGATCCGTATGATTATTTGGGGCCGACGCATCATTATTTTAGAGCTAGGCTGAGGGGACCGAATTGGAGGAGTGTGTATGTGACGGATGATTCGCCTGCGGTGGTGAAGACTGGTCGGCCTGCGGTGAGGTCTAGTCAACCTGTTGTGGTAAGGCCTAGTCAACCTACCGTCGCGAAACCGGCAGCAAATCAGAGTCAGGAGGGGAATACGGCCATGAGAGGATTGAAGAAGGTAAAGGAGTATGGGAGGGTATGTCGATTCCGCTCTCTATCTTGTTTCCTAATATAATTCTAGTGGACAAGTACTAACTAACAGCGGGATAGACCGTCTTGAGGCTCTTCAGGCACTGAGTATGCTACAATCTAAGCATCAAAATCTTCTAATCTGTACATACTTCAAAGATCTGGCGATATTCTACAAATTCAATTCTTATATCAATATCATATGCATGTGCATATAGAGCCATAATTTAATATGATTTTAATATGGGAAAGAAGGCTGCGGGTGGCTGCCAGGATACCAAGGTCGCAGTTCCGTTAGCGTGTCCCAACAAGGCAAGTCCTCGCTCGCTTGTCCCTGGCCTAGCAACAGGGGTCCGGTTTCCCGATCGATTCTGATTCGATCAGAGGATCTTTGTACCACAGAACACGGCTGAGCCGTGTTATTTTCTCTGTGAACTCTCAGCCTCGCGGGGGGATTGGGGATGGACTAGTACGCATTGGTTTGGGCTTACTGTTTATCAATTTACCATGCGTGATTAAAGGGACTTGCAGCTTCGAGCTTCGAACGTCGCGATACTCCTCAAGCTTCACCAATTCAAACTACAACAAGGCCAATACGCCATGATATCATGATACCCAATCGATATTATAAATCTACAAAATGAACACCCTCCAAAGAACCGCCCTCCTCTCCCCCTTCCTGACCCTCACAATCCTCTCCCTCCCGCCGTCCTCCACCCTGCGGAAAGCACTCTACCCCCTCCCGGCACTCCTCTTCCTCCACCCCATCGTATCCCCCCCGAAATTCCTATCAACGGATAAAGAAGCCGTCGAAGAGGCATTCAAGCTGGGAACACTATCCGCCAGTTTCGCGTTCATGTTCACCTACTTTCTCTACTCGGGCTACAACACACCTTCGAACTTTTACAAAGTACCCCGAGGTAAAGAGGGGTATCCGGATACGATCTGGGGAAGGGTGAAATGGTCGTTATCGTTGATAACCGCCCTTCGCGGGGTGGGGTGGAATTTTGAAGTTTCGAATCTACCCAGACGGGTTGGGACGCGTGAGGGGTGTATTCGACGTGCTATAGCGGCTATATTGGGGGCTCACGGGGCGTGGTATGCGGCCGGTAAGCTCTGTGGGGCTTATGCACGTTTACTGCGTGATGAGCATGCTGCTGAGAAGTATGGGGTTGTGTATAAGGTGTTTGGGAATATACTCGTTCAGATGGGGGTGGTTAGTGCTGCTTGGGGGGTGAGGAATATAGCGTTCGTCGTGCTTGTTTCCTCTTCACTCGAGCTGTTCTTCGTCGCCAGTGGTGTCGGCGGGGAGAGGTGGAGTGATCCGGGCAATTGGGTTAGGATGTTTGGGTATCCTCAGGACTGCTGGAGTGTTAAGAATGTCTGGGGACGGGTATGGCATCAATCCATCCGTCGGGTATGTAGCACTTTATTCTTCCAATTTAGGTGTAAAATACTGATGATGTAATGGGCAGTGCATTCAATTCCCCGGCGATAAAATCGCATCCGTCATCTTCGGCAAGGAATATAAATCCCTCCCGCAGCCCGCGAAGGCAGCCAGGGCATTCTTCCTCCTCCTCTCCGCCTTCTCGATATCAGGCCTCATCCACGTCTCAGGCTCATACTTCATTGTAGCGGGCATGGACTCCCCACCGCCTTCGACGGACCAATGGTACTACACATTCTACTTCTTCATCGCACAGGCTATCTTCGTCGCAATGGAGGAAGTGGTCTGTTACGCGCTCGGGGTGGGGAATACACCGCAGGAGGTTAGGGTGGGGGGGTTGAGATGGATGGTTGGGGTGGTGTATACTACTATGTGGTTTTGCTGGTGTACGCCGGTCTTGTGGGCTGATCCGGAGAGTAGGGTTGTTGGGTTCGTGGGAGGGGTGGGGGAGGAGTATGCGCATGTTTTCGACCGGATTGATAGATTTTGAATTCCGACTTTAGAATATGGTCTCGTTTACTGGGGGTGTTTCTTTATATCATGGTTGGTGTATATTATTGCCTCAAGACGTGACATGCCGGGGAAATAGATAAAGTAGACTCCAAGGAGGGTTGTAGGACTCTTAGATAGCTTTGTAACTATAGAATAGACATCTAGATATTTACCTATTTTGGTACTATGCCATCCCTGCCCTTGTACCAACCATGTTCTTATCGGATTCGTGAGTCGTTCCAATCTCAACTTTGGTATCATATCGGCAGAACAGGCTACAAAAAAGTTATCCAGCACACACCCAAACCATGACTCCTACCACCCAAAAGACCCCCCTTCTACCCCATCTTTCCCTAACCCAAAATAAAAAACAAAAGATAATAAAAAGGAACAAAAAGAAACTCATCAACCAGAAATCCTAAACTTCCGATACCGGGAATCGAACCCGGGGCTGTCCGGACCATTCCCAACTTCGAAAGAAATCGATGAAAGCGGACGATGTTAACCACTACACCATATCGGATGAGTGACTCGATGTTTTGACAGTCCGTCCGCAGGGCCCTGATACACTGCTGCTCGCTGGTCCGAGATTATAACATGTTGATATATTGCATGGTGTGGGTATTTATATTCAGAACCTCAGTGGGTGTATCGATATAGCTATGTTGTAGAGGGATTGGTACGACAATTGTATAAGATGGTAGCAGGAGATACTGTATTATCTAGACACAGTCATTGCGGTAATAATTACAAATATTCCACTGGATATAATGTAAAGGAGTACTGAGTATAAAGAATTTAAATCGCGGCAGAAACCCGACGACCACGTGACCTCCACACAAAGACTCACCCAACCCCGCCAAACCTCCTCCACACCACATCAACATCATCACCACCAAGAACCCCACATCGACACCAAAAAAAATGGGCGGCAAACCAAAAGCAGAGAACTCCAAAAAGGCCGCCGGCAACGCCCGCAAAGCCGAGGCCGCTGCGGGGAAACAAGCCAAAGCCGACGCCGCCAGATCTGCCAAAGAGGACGCGGAGTGGGCCGACGGGGCTAAGGATAACTCCAAGAAGTACCTTTCCTACCTGCTTTATATTGCTTCAATTTACATTGTCTTTGCGTTTCATACGGGCTGTTTTACTGACGGTGGATGATAGACAAGCAGCAGAGGCCAAAAAACGGGAAGCCCAAGCCAAGAAGGCCACCAGAGACGCCGAACTCGCCGAAGAAACCGCCGCCTTGAAAACTACAAAGACCAATCCCAAAGCCGGCGGTAAAGGCAAAGCTGCCCCCGCATCCCGCGGTCTGGACGCCGCTCTGGCCGGCTTCGACGCCCCTGAATCTTCAAAGTCAGCGGCTCTTAACGCATCCGGTATCGACAATGCACTCGATGCTCTCTCGCTCACTTCCGGCGCTGCTTCCTCGGCCGCTATCGACCGTCATCCAGAGCGTCGCTTCAAAGCCGCCTACGCCGCCTACGAAGAACGCAGGATGAAAGAGGGAAAGGAGGACGGAGAGTGGGATGGCCTCAGACAGAACCAAGTCAAAGACAGGATCCGCAAGGAGTTTGAGAAGAGCGAAGAGAATCCGTTCAACCAGGCCAACGTCAGCTTCGACGCTAGCAGGGATGAGGTCAGGGCCGTCAGGGACCGTGAGGCCGGGAAGATCGAGAAGAGGCTTGGGGATAGGAGTTAAGATTGGTTGCTGTAGCTGTGTATAGGAAACGCCTGTGAAGGATAACTACGTTCGGTGGGGTTGCAACGAATGTGAGTTCGCCCCCTCTTTTTTTTTTTTTTTCATTATTCCTGCCGGCAGAACTAACTGGGATTCTCTACAGAGCGTGGAGCATCGCTCCTTCCGCTGTGACACATGTTGAGATAGCGACAACCCGCATAACAAGCATTCATTGCAAGCATGATAGCAAAGTCGTCTTGTCTAATTACTCGCATTCCTTCGTTTAAACCGAAGCAAAAAAAATTGGAAATTGTCTGATTCGGCGAAACTGCCGCAAACTTGCTCATTGTTTATGCTGTAATCCCTGTTATGTGGGGGCACAGAGATGTGACATGTGGGACCCCCTCTGGACGCTAGATGTGTGACCCGTCGTGATGGCTCGACGTGCTGACGCAAGAAGGCTAACCGTCTTCTTTCCGATACGTATTTTTTTTGAGATTTCTCTATGAATTTCTATTCGTCCCTCTTCTTGAGAAATATTCTTTCGGATGCGCGATCCTACACTCCATTGCTTTATTCCATCAACAGCTAAAGCTTTGTGTAATGCCATGATATTCTTCCACGCTTTTATAATCACCACTCTCTTAGTCCTCCATCAACCTCTGACCTCCAATACCCTCAACTACTTCTCTAGCCCCGAAATTACTATTCCGGGCCATTCGGTTGTACCTGTTCTACCTTGTTACACACATTCTAATACTACCAAACACCCAACGGACGGGGTCTATGTAGACCTCTCGAAAATGTATCCGATGATTATTAATATACCACCCGGATCGTCCGGCGCGAACAGATCGGTTGATACGCCCGTGCCGTTGATGGGGTTACTTGCTTTGTCGATGTATCTGATGGACCTTTTTATGATGTGAAAATAATTATAATATCGACATGGATTTTTTGAGAAAAATTTGGCGGGTGGAATTATTAGTTGGGGTAGATATCCTTTCTTCTATTAGATCGGGTTCGCGAGGTGTATTAATATTCTACTTTAGAGTTTTCCTCCGCGCTGGGCGTCCGGGCTGAATTCATAGACTATCAACGGCCGGATACGAAGCATTTCGTCAAGGTTTCTAGCTTCTTTCTATAATATACATCGATATCGCTTCAGTATCGATATCACAGCCTCGGCAACACCAAATCCCGAAATGCAACAGATAACATCAACCGTTAACCCTGAGACCTGCATTCCAAAACACGACCTGCATAATCCCACTATCTTATTTTTCTCCACAATTTCTTATGGTTAATGTTCTGTGCTGCGCCCCTGACAAATTGTTCCACGGGAAATATTTTACAAAAGGAGGTCGTTTGTGCGGGTTTTCGCTTAGCTGGGTGTTGAAATTGGGGTTTATTCTCTTGGCTTGCGAAGGCGAGTCTTTGGGGTGGACTGTGCGATTAACAATCAACCGCGATTGAGGAAATTGTGGGTACCCTTTGTTTTATGAAGTTTTGGGAGCGGGCGCATGGAAATGCTATCCTCTTATAGTTGTGGAATGCGGAGGGGTTCGGTGTTTTGACTTGGCTTTATTGGATTGGATTGGAGTCTATTGGATGTGTATTCGTATATATTTATTAAACCCTCACTGAAATGTGAAGGTATATTTATGAGTATCGCGATATCTAGAATATTGCGATATCGAGATCATTCTCTACACTCGTTTATACAGTATCATTGAATAATATCCACAATGAAGTCTCTCCTCCCCGCCCTGTTGGCCCTCATACCCCTAGCATCCGCCCAATGCGAAGGCTACACCTACCTCCCCTCCCTCCCTCACTGCGCCCTCCCCGACCTCTCAAAATACTTCGAATCCAATCTAATCCCGCAAGACCAAGCCTGCCCCAACGCCTTCGGAAAAACCTACCTAGCGAGCGCAACCTACACCGACTACGAGGACGTAATCACCACCGTCGGCCTCCTAAAACCCGTCACCTCCCCCGGCGACCCCTCCGAAACCGTGAGATTTCTGTATGATCTCAGGTTCGCGGATGTGAAGGATGGTAGCGGGATTACGGTCAACTACTATTTTCCTAGGAATACGCTCACGGTTTATGGAGGGGTGTTTACGTTTTGGAGTACGGTTACGTATGTTGATGCTACCAGCACGCGGTTTAGTACCGTTGAGAGGACGGCTAGTAAGTTTATTATCCCCCGCGAGTGAAATGGTATTAACGGCATACAGCGTCGACATCGACGATAACCTCCACCCCAACGAGCACGATTACAAAATACACCACAATCACAAAAGCAGTAACAGAAACCACAACTCTAAAACCACTCACAAAAACCATAACCATAACCCACAAACCCCCCAAAACCACCAAAAAGGTTTACACCACGAAGAAGACAACCACAACCCTCCCCTGCATCCCTCGCGCAAACTACCCCCGCGATCTGGTAGATAAACTAGAAAAGAGAGACACAATCTTCGACTCCAAAACCTTCACAGTACCAACCTGCTACCCAACCCAACCCCCAAAAACTACCCTCCACCGCTCCACAATCCTAACGATATCAACAATAACCACCACATCAACCCTCACCGTCTCCACAACCACCACCGCCCCAGCAATCACAAAGACAAATATAAAAACGGTTATTAAAAATACTACTAAAAGGATTACGGTGACGCCGAGGGTTAAGACTGTGACGAGGAATATTACCGCCGCGAGGGTTACGGTTACGACGAGGATTACGGTTTGGAGTACGGTTACTGCGTATGCTGCTAAGACGTGTTGTGGGGTGAAGACTAGTACTACGAAGAGGAGTACGACTTGTGCGAGGAGTACTACGAGGAGGTATTAGTTAATTATGGGGGTCATTTTTGTAATTAGGGAATTATAATTTGTATTCTGGATTATTCGGACAGTATGCTCCGTACCGACTGAAAATCACTGGGGTGAGAGAGAAGTAGGCCCAAAGACTAGAAGCAATGTAGGTAGTAGGGAATTTGAAGAAATATTTAGATCATCTGACATGTATATGGGTTTTTTGAGAAAGATTGAAGTGATAAAGTAGACCGTGGGTTACACCTGCGTCAATTCGCAGCCCGACGCGTGCGCGCGAAAGGGTTGGTCGGTACTGGGGGAAGCCCTCCGCGTGAAATGGAAGAACATCACCTCCCCGAAAAGTGCGTTGTCCACCAAAAAATGCAACACTCAAAACTTTTTCATGCTTCTACGACCTGTCACAAATATCAAAATTCAAACTCTTACAAATTCGAACCCCGAAATATGCATTTTCCTAACCCCCCCGTTTTTTTATGGTAAAAAGATTCTGTTGCCGAATTCTGTAGCGTTGTCTCAGACTAACCCCCCGGTTGAAATTTTTTCCCTGTCAATGCAGCAAAAAAAATACCCGAAACCTTCCAATTCGACGCAATTCACATCCCCCACCCCGTCAATAGCTGATATCTACGACCACAGAAAGAGGAACAAAGGGTATCCCGTCCGCTCTGCCTTACTCAAGCCTCTTATCGAATCGTCAGTAGTATAGTGGGTGACCATATGCGAATCCGGTTTGTTGTAGATTCACCATTTCTTTTTTTCTTTTTTTCCATTCTTCTTTTTTTTCAAGCTCTTTGCGTTGGTAGATTGAGGGAGCTAGTATATTTTACGTCCTGAGTGTCATAATTTTTGTATTGTGAGAGCGGGGGGGCTTTTCCGGAGTTGATTGGTGTTCTGAAAAGTCTGGTCGATCGTGAGGTCTAGTCCTGTAGGTCCTGCGATATCTTAATACGTATCATGCATGTCGGCCGTTGAAGCTTTATGTTTTCTTTGTT